GATAGATAGATAGATAGATAAAGATCCATAAATGTTGCACACTGGACCTTTAAAATGTTCTTCAAATTCCATCTGACAGCATTGAACGTAGTTAAGACCTTGGCAATGAAGCGACTTTAAATTAGATGGATCAGAATTAGATGGATGTGAGGATGGTGATGTGAGTCTAGCCCGTGTACAGGAATAATTACGTTTGTTACTGTTTAGATGCTGTAAGTGACACTGGAACAGTTTAGACCCGTGATCTTAGAAGCTTTGTGTTTGCGTTTGGGGTTGTTTGTTTTGTTGGTTAATGTGAGCACAGAGAAGCAGCAGATGGAGCAGCAGAGGAAGACAGGCTCTAGGAAGCTTCAGTATCGCTGTGTGCGTGTGTATTTATGTGTGTGTTCAGTGGTCGAAGGCAGTAATTGGGTCCAGTCTCTCCTGCTTGCCTGGGAGTGTTTCAACTGGGCTCTGTCGCTCTATAGCAACCAACCTCGATGCTGCAGGACCCCACCCTCCCCTCCCTCCCTCTCTCCTTGTCTGCAAAAGATCCATAGTGTGAAATATTGACTTGATTATAGAGAGTGTTGCAGTGAGGCTAACTCACTGCTCCACAGGCCTAGAGTGCGGGCCCCACTGTGGGCTTCAGCTCATGGGGAGCTCCCCATGCCCACGCCCTGCAGCATGCTCTCCCATGGCGCTTGTCATGTCTCTGTGAGACACCTACACTTGGCTGCTTGTGTCAGCAGTGGCCATGCGCACTATCACTCGCTGTGCTATTTATGGGAACCCGTGAGGTCGCCAGGAGGGTGGCAGGGAGTGGGAAAGGTTTTCTGCAACACTGCAGCTTGTATCCTGCTCTAAAACAGCGAGACGCGGCTGCAAAGAGGCTTCTGGTTGCCGACTGGGTTTCCATAAATTATTTAGGAAGTGTTGGGTATTTAGTAGAGTATACTTACCAAATATCAAACACATATTCTTATGTCCTAAATTCAAATGCATATATCCTCCCTTGATGCAGGTCCCTGGAGTTATTCTTTGCCAGCAGTCAGAACAGTAAACTCCTGTATGGAGAGCCTCCCAGCTCCCCCAGGGCCAGCAGAAAGTTCTCCTCACCTCCTCCTCTTGCTATTGCCAAGAATTCATCCCCAAACCGCCGACGCAAGCTCTCCCTCAACATCCCCATCATCACTGGGGGCAAAGCTCTTGACCTGGCTGCCCTTAGCTGCTCCTCAAATGGCTATGCAAGCATGTACTCATCCATGTCTCCATTCAGTAAGACCACCTTGGACATCAACAAACTGTATGTGTCCAGCCCTATCGCAAGCAAGATCCCTGATGAGGGAGAGGACAAGAAGGACAAGGTGGAGGATACCTCAGTGTCCAAGCAAGGTATGCCAGCAGGAGCCAATCCATAGCAAATTAGTCCAATTTTGATTCGCTAAAATGATGTTTTCAATGATCTGAGTAATTTTGTTATGATACAGATCTCTCTGTACGAGAGGAAAGTGACAATGATCCAAACCAGAGTGATGACGGAGACCCAGAAGCCTCTCCCACCAAGTCACCAACTACCCCAAAAAACGTCAAATGCAAAAACTCCTCAGGTACATTGTGTCCTAGATATGTTCAGTGACATAATTATGACTCCATAGTGTCATATCCAAGCTTTCAACTGCACACTGACATACCACCTGTATCCACTGCCTCAGCCAGTTCCACATTCATCACTGACTACACTATTTTGTTTGACTATAGTAACAGACTTCATAAAACAAACAATACAATAAAAGCTTATTACTAAACAATATTCTTAGGTTTGGAAAATGTAGGTTGTGGATTAATCATTTTATATATATAAATTAAAGCTCTCACTTTGAGATAGGTTGCAGTGGTCAATTTGTTAATACTTTTTGTACAGATAAACAAAAACATGCCACTGTGAAGCATAATTCATGTTAAATATACATTGGTTGATGGTTATGATCATGTGGGGAAAGCCAATGCTTGGCTTCAAGTAGGTGTTAGGGAAACTTGTGTCATAGCAACTACATTAAAAGCGTGTTTTCCCTTCCGCCCCCAGTAATGAGACTGTTTCACTGGAGCCAAGATTATCTGTGCCTTCGAAATCGTATGACAAAACAATAGATATATTAAAATATATTGTGGGAAGCATTAACAGAAATTATGAAGCAGAGAGTGTCTCGCATTGGTGTAGGATTCTTAGCTGTTTATGATCTGTCTATGTTCCCAGGATTTAAACATAGCAGACTGCAGAGAATCTGTTGATTCCTCTGTTATGCTGATATTTGGTGGCTATATTTAGCTGCAACCATCTTGAATATCAAAGCCTCTTGTAAAGGAAAGTCTGGAGGGAAACAGTTGTGTTGGCCTGTGGTGCCCCCTAGTGGAGGCATGCACAACAACAAGCAGGCGATTTTGCAGTCTGTACAGATTCAGTTATACTATACTATATACTATAAGTAATATAAAATAACGTTTTACCAACAGATTTATGTACATTTTGTGCTTTATATAATGTGAAAACTCATCATTTGTTATGTGTCTCCTCAGACTGACCACCAATTAAATTTACATGACACCAAAATCAATCTCTTGCCAGTTTCCAGAGGGTTATTTTCTCTTTAACTTGTGCCTCCCTCTAGAGTTCTCCCTGTTTTCCTACAACAATGGCATGGTGATGTCTTCGTGTCGAGAGCTGGATAACAACCGCAGTGCCCTGTCTGCTGCCTCTGCCTTTGCTATTGCTACAGCTGGAGCCAATGAGGGAACACCTACCAAGGAAAAATATCGGCGGATGTCCCTCGCCAGTACTGGTATACACAACTGTCCACTCTAGTCTAGTCTCAGTTACAGGTTAACATAACCAGACTGCTAAGAATTGCAAAATTGCACCATGTCAGGTTTATGGATTCTTCACACTTTGTTGCTCTTTGTTGCCAAAGCTGTATGTATCATAGTTATGAGAGCTTGTTGTAAAATCTCATTTAATATATTTTCTGCAGGCTTCCCAACAGATCAGAGGAATGGAGACAAAGAGTTTGTGATCAGAAGAGCAGCGACCAACAGAGTCCTGAATGTCCTGAGGCACTGGGTGTCCAAACACTCTCCGGTAAATCATCAACCAACACAAGTCAAGGCACATTTAGTTCATAAGACTACCATATTATTACTGCTTGTGTTTATATATTCACAATATATATATATGTTATAATATATGCTGTCTATCCCTCTCCAGGACTTTGAGAGTAACAATGAGCTGAAGACAAAAGTTATTGCCTTCCTGGAGGAAGTGATGCATGACCCTGAGCTGTTGACCCAGGAGAGGAAAGCTGCAGCCAACATCATCAGGTACTGTCGTAAGACTACAGTTTATTACGTGAACCCAACATTTAAAAAGATATGTTATATTATTAGTACATACTTGAGAGCTTGACCTTCTCCTATACTGTCTGTCAGGACTCTAACTCAGGAAGATCATGGTGACAATCAGATCACCCTTGAGGACGTGACACAACTGGTGAGTAGAGTTACTGTGTGGAGCAGTTTTAAAGCAGCAGGAAATAAGATTGTGAAAGAAATATGCAAATACATTTATACAGGTAAGCCTGGAACACAATTTGAGGCGATGATGGAGAAGAGCATTTCATTTAGTTATTTTCATTATCATGTTAATTCATCTGGTAATCATTTTCTCAATTAATCGATTAAACATTTGGTCATTAATATGATCTGCTTTTTTCAACCAACAGTCCAAAATCAAAAGATATTTGGTTTACTATAATAGAAAACCAGAAAATATTTACACTTGAAAACAGGAACCAGGCAAAAAGAAAGAATAACTGTTAAAATTGTTCATTTTCTGTCTTTCAACTAATGTAAATAATTGACTAGTCATTTTAGTTCTAATCCACATTAAATCAGTTAACCATTACCCAGTCTAAAAAAAATCTTGCCTTACAAACAGTTAGATATTTATGCCTCTTATAATTTTTTTGGATCACAGATAGACCTATTTTCAAAACATGAGCATTCTGATGCAATTTACCAACATCAAATTAACAGATTTTTGAGTATTTATGTTCTGTTTTTCATTTACAATACCTGCCATTTTGTGTTGAATTGCTTGCTACAGTTTTAATAATTTCCAGCTGTTTTGCGTATTCTAGGTGGAAGGAGGTAAGGCTGATCCCTTTGAGAGCCACTCTGCGTTGGAGATTGCAGAACAGCTCACTTTGCTGGACCACCTGGTGTTTAAGGTCATCCCGTATGAGTGAGTGCCGTCATATCTCAGCTGTACATGTTTGTGACCAACAATAAAACACTTCAGTGTTCACTTTGTCATCTGTTAATCTGTTCACCTTACAGGGAATTCTTTGGACAAGGCTGGATGAAGAATGACAAAAACGAGAAGACGCCTTATATCATGAGAACAACAAAGCACTTCAATGATGTATGTTCCAGTCAAAAGTCATCCCCTGTAACTTGTATTGATTGTCAAACATCGTGTTGAGTGTAATCCATTTGTTTCTCTCCTCTGCAAGATAAGCAACCTTATTGCCACAGAGATCCTGCGCTGTGAGGACGTGGTCACTCGAGTAGCGGTCATTGAGAAATGGGTGGCTGTAGCTGACATCTGTCGCTGTCTCCACAACTACAATGCCGTGCTCGAGATAACTTCTTCCCTCAACCGCAGCTCTGTCTTCCGCCTCAAGAAGACATGGCTCAAGGTTTCCAAGCAGGTGTGTATCTCCTTTTTTTTTAGCTATTTCCTTCCTAATGTTCTTCTTATCTAATGTTATTATTAATTGTGTTCTTGGTAACCTTTTCTTCTAGACAAAAGCAGTGATTGACAAGCTGCAGAAGCTAGTCTCATCAGAGGGGAGGTTCAAAAACCTGAGAGAGGCTTTGAAGAAGTGAGTTTAGTTCAAGGACATAGTTTGTACTGGATCAATATAGCAAACATGCAGTACTATACAAGTGGATGATGTGTGTGTTTTTTCCCATCAGCTGTGATCCTCCCTGCGTGCCCTATCTTGGGATGTACCTCACTGACCTGGCTTTCATCGAGGAGGGAACGCCAAACTACACCGAAGACAACTTGGTCAACTTCTCGAAGATGAGAATGGTGAGATGAATCAGTGTCCTGTCACACGAGAGACTTGGTGTAAATGTGTGTTTTACAGTCAGAATTTAACATCCTGTTTCTTATGTTTTTCAGATTTCTCACATCATCAGAGAAATCAGGCAGTTTCAGCAAACAGCATACAAGATTGACCTGCAACCAAAGGTAAATTATATATGGTAAAAGCTACGTCTGTAACAAATGCAGAGGCTAAGTTCCTCAGGCACTCTTAGAAAAGTAATGGTAAAAGCCATAATTTCATCAGACATGTTGCTTTTAAAAGCTGACAATTATGACCTTAAAGGGTCTTTATCAGGGTGGAAATGGAAGCTATGTCTACTTATGACTCCACTACATAGATTATATACTGTATGTGACTTATTGTGGCCAATTAAGTGTTAAGAGTAAATAAGAGTTATTATTCCTTTTTGTTTTGTTTTATTTTAATATATTTCAGAAGCCTGAAGAAGTTAAATTATCCAGTAATTCGAAAAAAAAAACCTGAATTTGTGAATCATAAATATGTTTTTATGTTGTTAACCGTCTTGCGACCCCTCAGACCTTTGTTGTAACCTCTTCAGGGCAAGAATTTTTCTCACTTTTTAGATTGAAAGAATGTTCTAACTATATACACACATACCACCCACACATACTTTATAGACCTTGTTATTAGTTGTCATGTATGCTTATAAACATTTATAAAGAGTTTTATGAAGCCATATCAAGGCTATATGAAGTAAATTGTCTTATGAATTTGCTTATAATGCAATTAATATGGTTCCAAAATTCCTTAAACATGCCTGTCTTTTCTTCATGTTTCAGGTAGCCCAGTATCTACTGGATAATAGCTTTGTTCTGGATGAAGAAAGCATGTACGAAGCCTCACTCAGAATTGAGCCTAAAGTGCCCAACTGATGGGGAAGTTGGTCCACCACATTATTTTCTCTGTTAATATCACACATCAGTTAACATCAACTTTTGTATAGTTGTACATGTTTAAGATATTTGCTCTTCTGTACAGTAGATGTTTAATGACACAAAACCTTTCAGTGTATATTTTCTGTTTGTTACTGTTGCCATGAGTTTCTTTCAACATTTCTTTGGGATATTTCAAGCATAATAACAGAGGTCACTTTGGTTGTACACAGCTGTGCCTTCTTAGTGACCAATGACATTATTTTGCATCATCTCATACTGTGTCGACTTTGCACTTTCTGAGCACTCGTGCTGCCGGCCGTTGTTCTCTTTGCTTGAGTTTTATCGATGACTGAGTTTCTCTGCAACCAATGTAGCATTGTAAAAATGTAACTGCATCAAATCAGGTAAAAGAGCAAAGAGAATATAGCTGTATTTAAAGATAAAGAAAAATGATCAGTGGAGAAGACATCAGGTATCTGAAGCATAACTGTCTCTGTGCTTCCCAAACCAAAACTAGAGGGATTTGTTTCTTAATTTCTGTTCACTACTCTAAAGTCAGGGGTTCCCAACTGTTTTTTGCACTGCGGACCATCTATGGCTATGTCATTGTGGACCAGCCCAATCAGACAAAAAGGGGATGAGAACTAAATGAAAATTTAGAATTTAGAAAATAAAAACAAAGCTACTAAAACTGAATGAATGCTCAATGTGCTAATGACGGATGTTACCTCACATACTCATAACCTTCTTTGATTAACATGACCAAGAGTTTGCCGCCATGCTAGCAGCTCTGTTAGGTTTCACTTTAGGCACAGCGGAACTTTGAGCCCAATGATAACATCAGTATGTTAACATGCTTTTGTTTACCATGTTCACCATATTTGTTTAGTGTGTTAGCATGCTAACATTTGCTAATTACCACTAAACACAAAGGCTGGTGGGAATGTTGTTAGTTTTGCAGGTATTTGATCACAAAGCAAAATATTGGACCAATAAAAATGTTTTACCAGATGATGGCACTAGATGCAAGTTATTATGCAAAGTTATTAGAATTGATCCTGAAAGGGACATGAATGTATCAAATTTTATGGCAATCCATCCAACAGTCATGAGGTTTTGTGCTCTGGGAACCATGGATATTTGAACCAAATTTCAGTACAATCTATAAAAAAGTTGTTGAAATATGTATATGAGGATCAAAGTGGTGGACCGATCTACTGACAGGCCACTAGCATGGCTTAAGTCTATTGTTGTTGAGAAGGTGACAGGAAGTGATGAAACCTGCAGAACAGACATCCTTGTTATTCAATTATTCTATTCAATTATTCAGGTTTTTTTTCCAGCAGAATCACACAGTTTTTTCGCTGTCCGGTAGCAAATTTTCTGAAGATCAGTAGCGGTCCACAGGGGTCGAGAACCTCTGCTCTAAGCCGTGTCTTCTTTCACCTAAAACTGACAAAATTTGAAGTGTCTTTTTATTTGTTGTAAAGCAATACACTCCTTTCTTAGCCTGCTGTCACATAAAGTGACAAAACTCACTCAGTTTATTTTATAATCAGCTATAAGCTGTGTAACAACATACAGTGATTTCTTTAGATGAATTAAAGTGAAAGATTAGTCATCATCATCAATCATAAAAAAAAGATTAAATGCGATGGAAAGTGTTGTACCTTCAGGTTTGGCGATACTTATGTAGAGTAAAAGGTTGTTGCTCTTCTGTAATTAAAAGACAATCTGTCCTTTTTGCTGTTCCAGTGATTGTGGAACGTGACTGTATATCACTCTGTTATATGCATTGCTGTTTAAAAACTATGATAAAACATATGTTAATGACCTCTGCCTGCAGCATTCAAACACTATTTTTGTAGTAGTATAAGAGAGAGTGACCTGCTCTTTATATGAACATGGGAAAGTATTTTGTACTTTGTTGTTAATTCACCTCACTGCGATGTGCTGTACATTTTGTACATGCAACCCTGCATATTTCTCAATGTGGAACAGTGTAATCCTTAAAAAAAAAAAAAAGTTGTATCTCAAGCTTAAACACAAAATGCTACAACAGTGTGGTCCTGAAACCATGACTTAGAGGTAGGAGATAACATCAAAGTGTTTTGCATTTATACTGTAATCCTGTCTATAACCATTTCTGTTAGCAGGAATATAGTAACGTAGTGCTTATTCTGTGAATATTTGTATGTATTTTTACTATGTATGTACAGTACACTTTTGAAGCTCATATGGCAGGCATGCAACACCTTCACATACAGAATAATACTCTATACTTATACTGTATACACTTATACATGCACATACTCTTATAAGGTATATAAACAAATAAACATTTTGCTGTTAGCAATACCCAGTGGTATGAAAATTATCTTTCAGCCCTCATGTTTCCACACCTTAAGAAATATTCACAGTTTTGTAAGAAAACAAATGAAAAGACAACAAAAGAAAATATATGATGATGATAATAACAACAAACAAACATGTTTCCCAGTTACCTCTTGCTAATAAATCCATTTTATATCAGGGGCATTTTGTCTCAAGTGTTTTTGTAGATCATCTATCAGTTGACATCATGCTCGCTCAGTATGAAATAAAATATAATCTGAAAGTATTTAACATCAGCATCACTCTGTCATAGCAAGCGGTGATGTGTGTAAAATCCCAGCTTTATCTGAAAAAACAAAATTACACAAAATTACAAAAATTCACAGTTTCCACAAATGCCATACAGTATACATTTGTTACATGTAGTTAAATGCTAAAACAGATCATCTTTCTTGGTGAGTTAGCACCAGGATATAATGAGTCACTTGTCAGTGTCACCGAGTTTGACGATAAAGTGAAAACCACTTCATTTGAGGGTTTGTTGTCTCCTTTATTTTGTATATATTTGAATATCAATTTATGATATAAATGTTTTCATTTACACATTGCTGGATAAACCTGCCCTGGGGCAAAACAATTTATTATATACCCAGATACCAACCTGTACTTGTATGTTAAAAATACTTCCTGGCCCCCTTTCTCTTCCTCCCCGCTTTCTTTGTGTCAGTTAGAGTTTGAGGCAGTTTGATTAAACACAACATTAGTTAATAAAATCAAATACAACCATTCAACCAACAGTAAGAGTGAGACTCTTACTCTTGTACTGTACTGAAGGAGAATTGGCAGGACATTGGTGCTTCAAGCTTTGTCTTTTATCCTTTAAGCAAAAACATTTTCATTTCACCCAATTTTTATATTATGTTGTGTTACTTTGAAATATTACTCTACAAGTCAGACTTGATTAAGTTTTGTTGTTTCTTATTGTATCCAAAAAATATCAAATGACCCCTGACCTAACTTTTAAGCAATTTGACCAAAGTAAGTCCTTGTCTCCTTACATGTTTCATGTCTCATGTGATATCTCAAATTAACCTAAAATAATACCAGCTCCTCAACAAATTAAGTGGCTTTGGCATGACGTTAATAATGGACAACTTCTGGAAAAATAATTTGTTGTCATATTTGGTGAAATGTTCACTATATCCTGACAGTACTACATGAAACAGATAATCTATGAAAAAAAACCTGGTTCCTCTGGCTCCCCCTAGTGCTCCTAATGGCATTTGCAACAATCCACTGGCCCTGGATAAAAACAGCCAATCAGAGCAGAGAAAGATATAAAGACGTTTTGGGTTTGAGGTTTGAAGATGAGGTTTGCCGACTTGGGAATGAGACTCAACAATCAATTAATTAATTGCAAATGCCATTAGGAGCGCAACAAGGAGCCAGAGGAACCAGATTTCACACATTATCTGTCTCATGTATTACTGTGAGAATATAGTAAGTCTGAACAAATATGACAAACATTTTTTGTTATAAAAAAATTACCTACTTATGTACTTTGAGTATCATGAAAAGCGCTCCATAAATCAAATGTATAATATATTATTATTATTATTATTATTGTTATTGTTGTTGTTGTTGTTGTTGTTGTTGTTGTTGTTGTTATTAACTCACTGTCCCTTCAGTCCCGG